CCCTAAACCCTAAACCCCTAAACCCTAAACCCTAAACCCTAAACCCCTAAACCCCTAAACCCCTAAACCCCTAAACCCTAAACCCCTAAACCCCTAAACCCTAAACCCTAAACCCTATACAGAGCAAGGCTTCAAGGAGGAGCCCTTGAGTCACTTAGGGTTTAGGGTTTAGGGTTTAGGGTTTAGGGTCTTCCTCCTAAAGCCGTTCTAGGGCTCAGGGCCCGAAATCCCTACACCCGCCAGGAACTGGGCCTGTGGTAGCTGCCGGGCCGAGACTGGGCAAAAGAAAGCTTCAGTGGGCTTTCAGGGCTTTAAGGTGCAGGGCTCAAGTGGCGGGTTTAGGGTTTAGGGTTTAGGGTTTAGGGTTTAGGGTTTAGGGTTTAGGGTTTAGGGCTTACGGCTTAGGGCTTAGGGCTTAGGGTTTAGGATCTAGGGTCTTGAGTCGAGGGTTTCCGGCAATTTTCCGGGCCTTGAGGGTCGAGGGGCTGCTTTGTTTTTTTGCGGTAGGGTTTCGGTCCCAGAGGATGTAACTGAGGTGGGAAGGGTTGCGTTCGTTCAAGGTGTGGCGCTTTGAGGCAGGGTTCAGTGTTTAGAGTTTAGGGTTTAGGAAGGTTAGGGTTGAGCTAGGAAGGTTAGGTTTAGGGTTTAGGGTTTAGGGTTTAGGGTTTAGGGTTTAGGGTTTAGGGTTTAGGGTTTAGGGTTTAGGGTTTAGGGTTTAGGGTTTAGGGTTTAGGGTTCAGGGCTTGTTCAGGGGCTTTTTGTGGGGTTCTGGGGCATCAAGGGTTTCGGGGTTCGAGGGTATGACTCCCCAATGCTCCCAAGTCCTGTCTGCGTCGCTCTGGCCCCGGGAGATGAAACCCTAACCCCCTAAACCCCTTAAACCCTATAAGCCTTAAACCCTAAACCCTATAAACCCTAAACCCTAAACCCTAAACCCTAAACCCTAAACCCTAAACCCTAAACCCTAAACCCTATCTGCGATGCTCTGGTCCCAGGAGATGAATGTCCGGCACAAGAAGGAGAACGGAACGAAAGAGGAGAAGGCGACGCGGGGGACGAAACGATCTGCTAGGCAGAGCCTTGTAGTCAAAAACCTGAAGCTTTTTGAGCCTAGCCCTAAACCCTAAACCCTAAACCCTCAACCCTCAACCCTAAACCCTAAACCCTAAACCCTAAACCCTAAATTCCCTTAAAGCCCTAAGTCAAGCCCGTCAAGCCTTAAAGCCTGCATGAACCCCTTAAGCTCTCAAGGCCTGAGTTCGCCCTCTAGTTCATTCCCTCCCCCTACTATTAAACCCCCCCCCCCCACCCCCTGATATTAAATACCCCCCCCCCCCCCCCCCCATATGCCATAATATAATTTCAATGTTTAGGGTTTAGGGTTTAGGGTTCAGGGTTTAGGGTTTGGGGTGCAGGGTTCAAGGTTTAGGGTTTAAGGTTTAGGTTGCCCCCGTTCTTGCAGCATTTGACCGTGAGGAGTCTGCCACGAGCCTGCTCAAGGTCTTCAAGCAGGGCATCAATGTGCCCTTTCTGATCACTCTGACCATGAAGTGCCTCGACCTTCGAAATTGGGGGTGTAGGGTTTAGGGCTCGGGGTTTCTGGTTTCTGCGTCGGTTTTGGGTGTTTAGGGCATCTAGGTCGGGTTTGGGGTTTGGGGTTTTGGGTTTGGGGTTTAGGGTTTAGGGTTTAAGGTTTAGATGTTACGCAAAGAGAGCCCATGGGCCGCGAATGGTCGAAACGCTTAGGGTACCCCTAAAACCCTAAACCCGAAACCCTGAACCCTAAGCCCTAAACCCTAAGCCCGAAACCCTAAACCCTAAACTAGTCTGTTCTCGCGGGAAACGGCGTGTCGTGGACTGCGGAGAGTGGGAGAGTGGGAGAGTGGGATACTGGGATACTGGGAGAGTGGGAGCGTGGGAGAGGGTGAGGGTGGGAGAGTGTGAGGGTGCGAGAGGGGGAGGGTGGGATAGGTGTGTACAGAAGCCAACAGCACTTTGCTTTGGTGTACCTCCCTAAACCCGAAGCCCTAAATCCTAAACTCTAAACCCTAAACCCTAAACCCTAAACCCTAAACCCTAAACCCTAGACCCTAAACCCTAAAACCTAAACCCTAAACCCTAAACCCTAGACCCCGAACCCTAAATCTCTCACGCCTCAGGTTTTCGAAGGTCTTGATCCAGGGCCGTCGTCCCATCGAGGGCAAATCTGAGCATCGGGCAAAGGTCATTGTAGATGCTGCTTGGCACGGAGATCTGACTCAGTAACCCTAAACCCTAAAGCCTAAACCCCAAACCCTAAACCCTAAACCTTAAACCCCAAACCCTATAAACCTTCACATAAAGCTCGAGTAGGTAATCTTCAACCTGTATGGGGGATACATAATCACGGTAGAGTCCCAACGGCTATCCTTACGTTTTTCGTGATACCGGACAACTGAGTTCGCGGTTTCAGAGAGTTTAGAGGGTTTTGCGGGATTAGTGTCTCGGGTATATTTGGGGTTTAGGGTTTAGGGCTTAGGGCTTAGGGTTTAGGGTTTAGTGTTTAGGGTTTAGGGTTTGGGGTTTGGGGTTTAGGGTTTAGGGTTTAGGAATGATTTGCCCTTGAATCCCAAGAGCGGGCCTTCCATGGGCTTTGAAGGGCTTGCGAGAAGCAACAAGGACGCAACCAACCCCCCCGACCCCACAAACCCTCCAAACGAAAACCTTGACAAAACATGCACGGTAAACCCCCTGCCCTAAGCCCGAAACCCTAAGCCCTAAGCCCTAAACCCTAAACCCTAAACCCTTCTGGGCTTGAGATCGGCCAGTGCAGGTTCTGGTCATTCTCCAGACGCTGCTGAAGCGCACGGATCTCCTTCAGCACATGGACTGGTCCAAAGCCCCGCAGCATACACTTCAGGAGGTTTAGGGTTTAGAGTTTAGGGTTTGGGGTTTAGGGTTTAGGGTTGGAGTTTAATTGGGATTTACGCAGGGCTTGAGGGCTTGAGGGGCGTTTCAGGAGTTCAGGCATTGAGAGGTTTGGCTTTCGGGGTTCTGGGTTTCCGGCATCCCGGAAGTGCAGCGATTGGAGGCACCCTAAACCCTAAACCCTAAACTCTACACCCTAAACCCTACACCCTAAACCCCAAACCCTAAACCCTAAACCCTAAACCCTAAACCCTAAACCCTTAAGAAAATGACCTGGGAAGCCCGTGCGGAATCTGAAGAGGCAAGGGCCCATTTGAGGCGACTCCTTCGGATGTTTTGGAGTTTCGGCTGTAGGGTTTAGGGTTTAGGGTTTAGGGTTTAGGGTTTAGGGTTTAGGGGCCGCAGGTACTCGTTGTGTGTTTGTGTGTGTGTGTGTGTGTGTGTTGCACTTTGGTTCGTTCCTTTTCATTGGCTCAAGGGGCTTGGCCAGAAGTACAGCCTTTAGCCGGGCGCCAGAGCACCGCTATGTTTATGTGTTGAGGGTTTAGCCACAAGGCCCTGAACCCTGAAGCCCACAATACTCCTAACCCAAAGCCCTAAAAAAAATAGCATAAGTCCGGAAGCCCTGAACACTCAGAGTGAACCTGAGCTAAACCCTAAACCCTAAACCCTGAATCCCCAAAAGCCTTAGCCGTTGAGCGCCCAAGGTCGACATCATCGACTACGAAAACTTCTTGCAAGTTGTGAAGATACTCGGCCCACGTGCCTGCTTGTACAGGGTGTAGGGTCTAGGGTTTAGGGTTTAGGGCTTAGGGTTTAGGATGTAGGGTCTAGGGTTTAGGGTATAGGGTTTAGGGCTCAAGGTTTGGGGCTTAGGGTGTAGGACTGAGGGCCTACTCGTATGAGGTAATTCGGGTTTGGGGGTGGGCCGAGGTTCAGGGGCCATTGTCTCGGTTATTATACAAATATTGTAGGTTCCCAAAAGATCCCTATCAAGACCAAGTCTTATCGAGTCTGGGTATAGGGTTGAGGGTTTCGGGTTTAGGGGAAGATGTTGGAGGTTTTTTTTTTGTGTTAGGGCCACCAGGCGAGCAAGGAAAGGCCGGCAGGAGGTTCTGATGCAGAATACCCAAGCCCCTGTACCCACCCAAGGCCCCCTACACTCTAAACATGATGGCCGAGCTGATGCAGAACGAAGGGGTGACAGTGTTTCTTGCTTGTCTACGTTGTTGTCCGCATCGTGGTTTAGGTTTAGGCGTTAGGGGGCAGTGCTGTGCTGTTGGAGCATGTGGCTTGTCTGCTGCTTCTCCACTACCTGTCACCGTTGTCGTACGGCTGCATTTAGTATTGCGTATACAAGGTGCAAGAAACCTTTTCCGTTCACGTGCAGGAGATATTGTACGGTTCCGGTTTAGGGTTTATGTTTTGTGGGTCCGAGCCCCTCAACCCCTTAGCCCTAAACCCCTAAGCCCAAAACATCTTTGCTTGCCCTAAACCCTTATAAACCCTAAACCCTAAACCCGAAACCCCAAACCCCAAACCCTACACCCTAAACCCTAAACCCGAAACCCTAAACCCTAAACCCTAAACCCTAAACCCTACACCCTAAACCCTAAACCCTAAACCCTAATTCCTAAACCCTAAACCCTAAACCCTAAACCCTAAACCCTAAACCCTAAACCCTAAACCCTAAACCCTAAACCCGAAACCCTAAACCCTAAACCCTAAACCCTAAACCCTAAACCCTAAACCCTGTCTGTTCCGCTTCTTTCGGGCTTGGAAGCGAAAAGGTGGGGTTTAGGGTTTAGGGTTTAGGGTTTAGGGTTTAGGGTTTGGGGAACCCAGAAAGTTTGACGCTCCGAACTCGACTTGCTTTATAAAGCCACAGGCCCCTACATCAGACCCAGAGACCCTGAACCCTAAACCCTAAACCCTGAACCCTACTACCCCTAACCCTAAACCCTAAACCCTGAACCCTAAAACCCGAAACCCTAAACCCTTAACCCTACAAGCCCTCAAGCTTCGTCAGGATGTACCGCCTGAGGGACTCGGAAATCTTGGAGGACGAGCAGATTCTGAACACGCTGTACCTCATGGTGCCCCCCTGGGGTGTGGGTTTCGGGTTAAGTTTAGGGTTTCGGGTTTCGGGTGTAGGGTGTAGGGTGTAGGGTTTAGGGTTTGGTGTGAAGAAATTTAGAGGGTCAGGGTTTAGGGATATACGATCTGGGGCTTAGGGGTTCACAGTTTTGGGGCTTAGGGGTTTGAGCTAACCCTAAACCCCCCCCCCCCCCGATCCTAGACCCCACTAAACCCCTGAAAGTCTGTGGGCCTACTGGGAAGAGCTCGAGGGTTTTTTTTGGAGGGTCTTTGAGCCCGTGGGCTGTTGAAGCACTTCAGTCCGTACCCTAAACTCTGGCCAACCCTAAACCCTAAACCCTAAACCCTACACCCTAAACCCTAAACCCTAAACCCTAAACCCTAAACCCTAAACCCTAAACCCTAAACCCTAAACCCTAAACCCTAAACCCTAAACCCTAAACCCTAAACCCCAGTCCCTAAACCCCCCCTCCCCCCGATCCTAGACCCCATTAAGTTCCCTAACCCGAAAGCCCTAAACCCTAAAAACCCTAAAATCTTAAATGCATGCCCTGGCAATCCAAAGAAAAACAATAATCGGGTTCTTAAGGGAGGGGGGTTTTCGAGCGGAGGGGGGGGGGGGGGTTTTAACCCAAGGTTCCCTAATACTCCTCACTACTCCCTAAGGCTCCCGAAGCTTCCCAGCCTAAGGTTTCCTAGGTACCTACCCTCCATGAAACCCTAAACAGTAAACCCTAACCCTAAACCCTCAACCCTAAACCCCAAACCCCAAACCCTAAACCCTAAACCCTAAACCCTAAACCCTAAACCCTAAGCCCTAAGCCCTAAACCCTAAACCCTTAAGAACTCCATAAAATACCCTACCTTGAGAACCCTGTAAAAACGCAAAAGCCTCGAATAACTCCAGCCCCTGCGTCCCTCCTTACGTGCATGTATGTGGCGTTAACCCTGTAGGGGTTTAGGCTTTCGGGTTTAGGGTTTGGGGCCAACATGTCCTAAAGCCTGAAGACCCTAAGCCCCAAAACCGAAATTCCTGACAGCGCTTGAACGCGCAGCCAGGTGAAGCAAGCGTTCCCATTCAAGGGCCTGGTCTTCTTGGAGTACCTGATACTTGGCCTCCCGCACGCGCGCACACACGCGCGCGCGGCTTCCGTGTTCAGTGTTTGTCGGGGGTTCAAAGTTTAGACGGACCCTAAACCCAAAACCCTAAACCCTAAACCCTAAACCCCAAATCCTAATCCCCAAACCCTAAACCCTAAACCCAAAACCCCAATCCCTAAACCCCAAACCCTTTTCGCGTCCCATATTCCCATGTCTGCATGTAATGTTTGTCTTCGCGCCACCCTCAGAAGTAGGCATGTGGCACGTTGGACGTGTATTCTTTTTTGTCTGCTTGTCCTTGCACCACACCATCACAAGTTTTGGGAGTGGCCCCACGCCCCTTTGCGCTGACCTGTGCGGTACTAGCGCTGAGTCCAGATTTTGCGCCTCATACGTAGTGGTTGGCTGGTTCTGTACCGCGCTCAGACGCAGGCGTGCCCGAGGCATGTGCGGTAGCCTTTGGCACTTTGCAGGGAGCACCCTAGGCCTGTAGCGCCTTAGGAGTCTCCGATGGAGGCATCAATTTCCCGAGGTTTTTTTGATGAGGCATGGCGCGCCCCATACAGTCCGAACACAAAAAACCCTCAACCCCAAACCCCAAACCCCAAACCCCAAACCCCAAACCCCAAACCCTAAACCCTAAACCCTAAACCCCCACCGAGGATGGAGGTGGCCTACGGGGACCACCGGGAAGAGCACACGACGCTGCAGGACATGGCGGCCGTCTGCTGCGCCATCATCTCCACGCAGAAGCTGGGTTTAGGGTTTAGGGTTTCGGGTTTAGGGTTTAGGGTTTAGGGTTTAGGGCTTAGGGGTTCTTCAGCGTTTAGGAATTTCTGGCAGCTGTTTTTCATGTTGAGGGAGGCCTTCGGGTTGCGTAGGCTTTGAGGTGCAAGGCTCAGCCTGGGGTACGAAGGGGTGCAAGGAGGGGCCCTAGAAGGGACCGGACCCCTAAGACTTATTCCCATGGCATCGCGCCTAGGTATACCATATGTAGTCCCTATTCTACCCAAGCAGTCCCTAAATAAGCCGTAATAAGAACCTAAACCCTAAACCCTAAACCCTAAACCCTAAACCCTAAACGCTAAACGCTAAACGCTAAACGCTAAACCCTAAACCCTCAACCCTCAACCCTAAACCCTAAACCCTAAACCCTAAACCCTAAAGGCTCCCCCTGGAGGGTTCTCCACGCCAAGGAATGCCACCGATGCCAGCACGCCCACCGTGAACGTGGCCAGCGTGGTGAAGGACAACGCCGCATTCGTCCATTCCTTGTGTCCTGGACCCCACGGAGGGCTCAGGGTTTAGGGTTTAGGGTTTAGGGTCTAGGGTTAAGGGTGTAGGGTTAAGGCTTGGGGTGTAGGGTTCAAGGTAGAAACTGGAATTTGCGGTTTAAGATTTAGGGTAGCCAGCACGGTTAGTATCACTCTTCAGCTGTGTCAACGATACCACACGAAGAGGCATCGCCATCTATACACGGCCAAACATTCTCATTCACCCATAGCAACCTTCTGCAGGGCTAGAATATTGTGCAACTCTAAGCGCCAAAAGCCTCAACCTCTTCAAGCCCTGCAGCCGCAGAACACGCCAAACTCCGAAACCCTCTAATCTCTAAAACCCGCTAAACCCCTAAACGCCCTAAAAACAACCCTAGCCGAATCCGGGGAATCCTTTGAGTGTCACGTGCAAGGTCCCCCAAGCCCCCCTTGACATAGTTCTTGAAACTTGCAATGGGTTCACCATGCAAGCATGGCCTGAAACCCCTTATATATTATGCCTCCCCCCCCCCACCCCCCCCCCCCCACCCCCCCCCCCCTCCCCCCCCCCCCCCCCCCCCCCCCCCCCCCCCCCCCCCCCCCCACCCCCCCCCCCCACCCCCCCCCCCCACCCCCCCCCCCCACCCCCCCCCCCCCACCCCCCCCCCCCCCCCACCCCCCCCCCCCCCCCCCGAAAAACCATCCTAAACCCAAACCCCAAACCCCAATCCCTAAACCTCAACCTTAGTCCCTAAGCCCTACACCCCAAACCCTAAACCCCAAACCCTAAACCCTAAACCCTAAACCCTAAACCCTAAACCGCAAACCCCAATCCCTAAACACTAGACCCCAAACCCTAAACCCTAAACCCCAAACCCCAAACCCCAAACCCTTGAAGCCCTAAACCCCAAACCCTAAACCCCAAACCCTAAACCCCGAAACCCCAAACCCCAAACCTTAAACCCCAAACCCTAAACCCCAAACCCTAAACCCTAAACCCCAAACCCTAACCCAGGTCCCGCGTGCCGGACCCGAAGATGCAAATTTGGCACTACCGCCTGCTCACGGGCTGGAGTCGGAGGCCCAAGGCGCCCACATCCTTTCCAAGGGGCTTTGAGGGTTTAGGGTGCAGGGTTAACCCGAAAGCCTAAAGCCCAAAGCCCAAAGCCTAAAGCCTAAAGCCTAAAGCCTAAAGCCTAAAGCCTAAAGCCTAAAGCCTAAAGCCCAAAGCCTAAAGCCTAAAGCCTCAAGCCTCAAGCCTCAAGCCTAAACCCTAAAGCCTAAACCCTAAACCCTAAACCCTAAACCCTAAACCCTAAACCCTAAACCCTAAACCCTAAACCCTAAACCCGAAACCCGGAGCAGGTGTTGGATGACCTTGTCGGGGACGCCGAATCTTTGAAGCGCCTCAGCAAGTCTGCGGTTGTGTAGGGTTTAGGGTTTAGGGTTTTGGGGTTTGGGGGTTTAGGGCTTATCGGGTTTAGGGTTTAGGGCTTCAAGGGTTTGGGGTTTAGGGTTTAGGGGTTTAGTGTGTAGGGTTCGGGGTTTGGTTTAGGGTTTGGGGTTTAGGGGTTCAGGGCTAAGGATTTAGGGTTTGGGGTTTAGGGTTTTGGTTTTGGTTTTTGGGGTATTGTGGTTTAGGGTTCAGGGATTAGGGTTTCGGCTTTTTGGGGTCAGGTCTGGGGTTCAGGGTTCAGGGTTTAGGGTTCAGCGTGTAGGTTGTGGGGTTTAGGGTTTCGGGTTTAGGGTTTTGGGGTTCAGGGTTCGAGGTCTAGGGTTTTGGGTTCGGGTTTCGGCTTTTGGGGTTTGGGGTTTAGGGTTCGGGGCTTAAGGTTAAGGGTTTTGCATTTGGGGTTTAAGGTCTACTAAGCACACTGTTGTTTGCAGTGCGTTTTTGCCTCTCCGTACAACATACTGTAGCATCAAGACTGCAGCCCAAACACCGATGTTTGCAAGGCCAAACCTTCCAAAAAGCACTTGCAATTGCATATCGAAATTGCTTAATCAAAGGAACAGCACCAGCATTTTGCCTAGACGAGTGAGCGTTTCAGGAGAGCAAAAGGCCCCGTACGATTTCAGGGGTTGCGGGTTGTCTAGGGCCATACTTTGAGGGTTTAAACCCTAAACCCTAAACCCTAAACCCTAAACCCTAAACCCTAAACCCTAAGATTTCAGGGGTTGAGGGGCGGGTGGCGACTAAGAAGTCAGGGTTCTAGGACTTGCGGGGGTTAAGGTTTTTTTTGGGCTTGCCGGTTGGGATGCCCGAAACTCAGGGTTTAGGGTTTAGGGTTTCGGGTTTCGGGTTTTAGGGGTTTTAGGGGTTTTAGGGGCTTTAGGGGTTTTAGGGGTTTTAGGGTTTCAGGGTTTTAGGGGTTTTAGGGGCTTTAGGGGTTTTAGGGGGTTTAGGGGGTTTTAGGGTTTTAGGGTTTTAGGGCTGTAGGGTTTTAGGGCTTTAGAGTGTTTTAGGGTTGTTGTTTAGGGTTTTAGGGTCTTAGAGGGTTTAGGGTTGTTTAGGGTTTCACAGGGTCAAACTCGATACAAGCCCTCAACCGCTTGGGCAAAGGTTCATCGTGGATCACCTATTGGAGACGCACCTCTGCCGCTACAGCGTGGTGATCGTGCACAACATCAGCATGCCCCTCGCCTTTTATACACGGTTTAGGGTCTAGGGTTTAGGGTTTAGGGTTTAGGGTTTAGGGTTTAGGGGCTAGGGTTTAGGGTTCAGGGTTTAGGGTTCCGCAAAAAAGGCCCACGGCTTACCCCAAATATGGTGACCCCCCCCCCCCCGTATGTGGGTCGTTGAGCTATGGTGTTCTTAGGCATGATGTTGTCGCATCTTTGTAAACCTCTACACAAAGCTCGAGGGAATTCGAAGCACATATCCCTAAAACCTAAACCCTCAACCCTAAGCCCTAAACCCCAGGTTCGAAGGGGCTTCAAGGTTTGGGGGTTGAGGACGCCTCAGCCGAAGAGCATCAGGGTTCCCCGCGGTGAAAAACGAACCCCAAATCCTCAACCCCCCAAACCAAGCACCCCAAACCCTAAACACTAAACCTTACCTGAAATCCTAAAGCCGATCTAGACCCTAAACCTTCCCTGACAGCCCGCTGATCCCTAAACCCTAAACCCCAAATCCTAAACCCCTAAACCTCCCCTGAAATCCCAAGGCCGAAGCCCTAAGCCCTAGGCCCTAAACCCTAAACCCTAACCCCCAAACCCCGAACCCCTAAACCCTAAGCCCTCAACCCTAAACCCTAAACCCTAAACCCTAAACCCTAAACCCTAAACCCTAAACCCTAAACCCTAAACCCTAAACCCTAAACCCTAAACCCTAGCCCCTAACCCCTAACCCCTAAACCCTAAACCCTAAACCCTAGCCCTAAACCCTAAACTAAGCCCTACTAGGCCCACCCTGGCCAATGCTGAGGTTGAGGAGCGGGGCACTTATCTCCCAGGAGGGCCACCTCTCCACCATCTGCGAGGCCCTGTAGGGGGTTTAGGGTTTAGGGTTTTGGGTTTAGGGTTTAGGGTTGAGGGTTGAGGGTTGAGGGTTTAGGGTTTAGGGGTTAGGGTTTAGGGCGTCTCGCCGCGCAGCCGCAGTAAGTGCCATGCGTAAATGGCGCCCCTACACACCCAGGGGGTGTGGGGGGGGCGGCATGTCAAGCGAAGGCATCTTGTCAATGTAATCCAACAATTTCATTGGTGCTGGGTTCTTCTCCCCACCCGCTGTGAGCTTTCACAGGCCACCACCCAAACCACTGCCTTTTAGGGTTTAGGGCTGTCCCCTCAATTCCCACACGCCCTTGCTTTCCCTACAAAGGCGTGGTGAAGGTAGTGGGGCGGGGGTCAGGTAAGGGGTTAGGGTCTAGGGCGGCGGCTTGAGGGGGGGGGGTTCAGGGAGGGGGGGAGCAGGGAGGGGAGGTGGGGTCAGGGGGGGGCTGCGGGGAGGGGGGGGGGGGGGGGGGCGGAACGGGCGGAGGAGGATCAGAGGATATCTATGTAAATATGGGCGCCACTCTGGTGGCCTAGTGAGTTTTAGGGGCTCTATATTCAACCATTCTCCAATGGCTCCACCCATTGTCCATCCAGTAAAGGTGTCCATCACTGCCGGGTATCTTCTGGGTCCAGGCACCCTAAAAAAGGGTGGGTACGGCCTAAGCAGGGAATGTAGGGTTGAGGGTTTAGGGTTTAGGGGTGCGTAGGGTCCAGGGCGTTCAGGGTTTCGGGGGTTAAGGGGTTTTCGGTTTAGGGGTTTGAGGTTTAGGGCGCTTGTTGTTTGGGGTTTGGGGTTTAGGGCGCTGAGGGTTTGGGGTTTGGGGGTGAGAACTTGAAACCAGACATTTTAGATGTGTATAGAATGGTCTGGAGCGGGTCGTGATGTTACATGATGGCTTACGAGCCTCCCGCACGTCTTGCTTTGATGCCGCCCTCAGAAGCAGGATTTGCCTTGTACACAATTCAAAAACCCCTTTGACCCTTCAATTCCCTAAACCCTAAACTCTAAACCCCAAACCCTAAACCCTAAACCCTAAACCCTAAACCCTAAACCCTAAACCCTAAACCCTAAACCCTAAGCCCTAAGCCCCAAACCCGAAGCCGCCTTTTCAAGCTGTTAAATTCTTGGCGGAGGCTTATCGACAGCTGGGGCCCGGTGCAACGCTCCACCGTGGGGACGAGGACTTGGGGTTTTTTAGGGTTTAGGGTTTAGGGTTTAGGGTTTGGGGTTTAGGGTTTAGGGTTCAGGGTGTAAGGTTTGGGGTTTAGGGTTTAGGGTCTAGGGTCTCTCAGATCACCCCTCAGCCCTAAAACTCCCAAAGCCCCCCAAAACCCAAAACCCTAAACCCACGAGAAACGTCGAGCCCCCTAAAGGCCCCAAAACAGTCAAGCCGCTCGAGCCTATGATCCCTAGGACCAGCGTCGGCTCGTTCGACGTCTCCTCCTCGCGTGCGTGCGGAACTGTTTCCTGGCAGTCTCTGAGACTCTGGTGGTGTACCTTGAGCACTCGATGCCTGCATTTTTTGGGTGGGCTTACGAAGAGAATCCCAATGAGGATTTTATGTCTGCTGCAAACCCTAAACCCTAAACCCTAAACCCTCTAAACCCTCTAAACCCTCTAAACCCTTTAAACCCTCTAAACCCTCTAAACCCTAAACCCTAAACCCTAAACCCTCAAACCCTAAACCCTAAACCCTGAACCGAAAGGCTTGGGGATTTGGGGCTGAGCGGGGCCCAAGCAGATGTGACAGCCCAACTCTGCCTCACCGACTAAGACGAACGTTGCACGTTAGGGTTTGGGGTTAGGGTTTAGGGTTTAGGGTTTTGGGTTAGGGTTTAGGGTTTAGGGCCTCCGAGGCTTATGGAATTCCTCCGACATCCAGAAGGAGCTTGCAGAGAGCGATGCTCGCTTGAAATAGGACGTCTAGCTAAACAAACCCCAAACCCTAAACCCTAAACGCTAAACCCTGAGCCCTAAACGCTAAACCCTGAGCCCTAAACCCTAAACCCTAAACCCTAAAGCCTAAAACCTAAACCCTAAACCCCATGTTGTACTTGGGAATTCAGGCGCCTGAGCCCCAAACCTCATGGCACTCTTCCTTGGACCCCTGAGGTTGTACCCTTGGGTTTGGGGACCCTTTCCAAGATCCTCCAAGGGAATGAAAGGGCCTAGGGTTTAGGGTTTAGGGTTTAGGGTGTAGGGTTTAGGGTTTAGGGTTTAGGGTTTAGGGTTTTGGGCTTAGGGTTACTGGGCGTATATGAAGGGAACCTCTAGGGGTACATCCTCAGGGGTCCCAGCAGGACTCCCTGGAAAGCCCCAAACCCTAAACCCTAAACCTAAACCCTAAACCCTAAACCCTAAACCCTAAACCCTAAACTCCTAAGCTACACCATTTTGTATTTGGGATTCTCGTCAAGTCCTATCATTCCTGAACCCTGAACCCTGAACCCTAAACCCTAAACCCGGTAGCCTGTTACCCCAAGCCACAAGCCGATATCTCGGGTTTAGGGTTTCGGGGTCTAAGGGTTAGAGTCTAAGGGAAACTAAACTCCGTGTCTTCGCCTAAGGACATGGGCAACATCATCCTCCTGGTTGACTGCGTGGAGGAGAAAGTCTTTATATTTCCCTCATTGGGGAAAAGAGGATCATATTCAGGATGTCCCCCCCTTATACTAAACCCTAAACCCTAAACCCTAAACCCCAAACCGCAAACCCCAGACCCTAAACCCTAAACCTTAAACCCTAAACCCTAAGCCCTAAACCCTAAACCCTTAGCAGGGATTGTAGTACCAGCTACTGTCATCCCCATTGAGGACTGTTAGTGTCAGGGGGAGCATCCCAGAGGATCATATCCAGGATGTGTTTTCAGAGGCTTTTGAGGGGCCAACGTAGTTCTGAGGGTTTAGGGTTTAGAGTTTAGGTGCGCTCGCTGACGCCAGCGAACACCTTCGTTTCTTAGTGACTACTTGGAGGTTCATGGGTACTTATAAGAAGGGCTACAAGTAGGGTGTCTATGGTAAGAACCTTATTTAGGGGACTTGCAACCCTACTTACAAGTACCCCATGAACCTTCAAGTAAGGACTGCGCAGGGGAGGGCGGGAAGTAGACCCGCATCTGTGAGTAATGGAGCAGCGCTGGAGAAGTCCGGAGTCATATCTGAGATGTGCAGATGGCAGTGTGAGCAATCATGCCCGAGCTGCGGAATAATTACTACTAGTATTCCCTTATGGTCCCTTTATGACTATACCATAATAACGCCCCAAAACCCTGTTCGAAATATTAGGGGCCCTATATGACGCGAATGAACCAGCTGCTATGTTCAACAATCTCCGTTCACTGCGGTATGACGAGCAAAGGGTTGCGTGTTTAGGCAACATGTCCGACTGCAGGTCAGCGTTGGGGCTGACTTCGCTTGAGATGTTGAACCCTAAGCCCTAGACCCTAAACCCTAAATCCCTAAACCCTAAACCCCAAACCCCAAACCCCAAACGCCAATCCCAGTACAGCCCTCTGGCGCCTTAAGCTCCTATACCTCAAAACCTAGGACCCGGAGTAGGCCCTTTGTTCCTTTTTCAGGGTTGGGGTTTACCTTATAATCATATTCCCCTTAAAAACCAAAAAGGGCCCCTTATTTTTTCCTTGGTTGCCCCTGGGTCTAGAAAAGCATCCTAAACCTTAGACCCTAAACCCTAAACCCTAAACCCTAAACCCTAAACCCTAAACCCTAAACCCTAAACCCTAAACCCTAAACCCTAAACCCTAAACCCTAAACCCTAAACCCTAAACCCTAAACCCTAAAACCTATACGAGGAGACGGACCTCCCTTTCTTCATGGCAATGAGCCTTGCCGTGTCTTGTGGCTCGGGCCGGGCGCGTAACGCCGGAGCCGACATGATTGGGTTTAGGGTTTAGGGTTTAGGGTTTAGGGTTTAGGGTTTTGAGTTTAGGGTTTAGGGTTTAGGGTTTAGGGTTTAGGGTTTAGGGTTTAGGTTTAAGGTTTAGGGTTTAGGGGTCAGGGTTGAGGGTTCAGGGTTTAGGGTTTAGAGTTTAGAGTTTAGAGTATAGGGTTTAGTTAAGTAGGTCCTGAAGCCTGAGCCTTGTTAGCCGCCTGAACCCTGTAAACCCGAACACCTAAGCCGCGTGTTCGAGTAGAAGGGTTAGGGCTTTAGGTTTTTTTTCAGGGTTGCGGGCTGTTGGGGCGGGCTTTCTGGTTCAGGGTTTGGGGTTTACAGGGTTTTGGGTGTGTAGAGAGAAGGGTTTAAGCTATAGTGTCATAGGCTACAAAGCCTCACCTGAAGAAGACCAAAAAGACATCGAAAGTTGGGAACTGTATGTGTAGGGTTTAGAGTTTCGGGTTTCGGGTTTAGGGTGTAACTTCACCTACACCCTTAATCCTGTTGTCGGCAATTCAAGGAGTTTTTCCAACCGAAAGGAGATTGGAGCCTGCGGGAACTGGTTTGCCAAGCCTAAACCCAAAGCCCAAACCCCAACCCTGAACCCTAAACCCTGAACCCTAAACCCCAAGCCCCAAACCCCACACCCCAAACCCTAAACCCCAAACCCTAAACGCTAATGCACCCAAAGAAGACTGCCAAGGATCATGTATATCTCCGAGGGCTGCAACATCAACCGCGTCCGTCAGGTCATGTACGGCCCGTAGGCTGCAGTCAAAGCCCCTACTAAACCCTAAACCCCAAACACCCTAACACCCTAACACCCTAACACCCTAACACCCTAACACCCTAACACCCTAACACCCTAACACCCTAGCACCCTAACACCCTAACACCCTAACACCCAAAATCCTGAAGCCACTTCCGCAAGCCCAAGCACGAAACGACTGAAGCGTTGTTTTTCGCGGCTTTGGCACCCAGCAAGAGCATCTGAGGACAAGCCCTAAACCTTAAACCCTAAACCCCAAGCCCTAAACCCTAAACCCTAAACTCTAAACCCTAAACCCTAAACCCCAAACCCCAAACCCCAAACTCCAATCAAAGTCCATCTCCCGAGCTGTTGGCCCAGGCAACCCGAAGATGTTGGAGCTCTTCGTTCGGTCTATGAACCAGCAGGTCAAACCCTAAAACCCTAAACCCTAAACCCTGAACCCTGAACCCTGAACCCTGAACCCTAAACCCTAAACCCTGAACCCTAAACCCTAAACCCTGAACCCTGAACCCTAAACCCGCCCGCCACCCCACTCTCTTGTCTTTTGGGGTAGGCGGGCGCTGGAGCGCTCAATGAGACCCAGCGAGGGAGCCCCAGGCGAGCTGGCCTTCAGGCTGGCTTACCCTCCAGGAAAGCACAGGCCGAGTCGAATTATGCCCTGCACGCCCTAAAGCCTAAAACGTAAGCAAGAGGTGTTGGAGTTTCTTGCTACCATACCAAGAGATTAGGGCTGAAGTTAGGGTTTAGGGTTTGGGGTTTTGGGTTTAGGGCTTAGGTTTACAAAAAAAAGCAAGTGGAATCCAGCACCTCAACCACTACCCTAAATGTCCCAGTTCCGAAGCACCCCCCCCCCCTCCTAAGACTTTCAAAGCCGAGGCAACACCTTTTGAGACGTGAGAGCCCCCTTGGGGTTCATGGTACTTATTAACCAATTAAAACTGTACTTATCACTGTACTTAGAAGAACCATATTAGGGCACTTTAGGGGCTCGTTGGTGGGTTATAAGTATAGTTATGGTTAGTTCAGAAGTACCCCTAAACCGTAAACCCTAAACCCTAAACCCTAAATCCTGAACCCTAAACCCTAAACCCTAAACCCTAAACCCTAAACCCTAAACCCTAAACCCTAAACCCTAAACCCTAAACCGATAAGTACCCTGAACCTCCAAGTATGGGAGCCCCCTGCCTTCGCAGGTCACTGCCTGCGTGGTGAACATGGACGCGCAGAAGTTTGAGTCCAGCCTCTACGGCCTTATCACGGAAGAGGACCGGGGCCCTGTGGGTTTAGGGTTTAGGGTTTAGGGTTTAGGGTGTTTCGGGTTTGGGGTTTGGGGTTTGTGGCTTAGGTATCAGGGTTGTAACCAGGTGGGCCTCACCTCCCCTCCCCCCCCAAAAAAAAAACAAGAACAAAAACTAAGAAGATCAACGAAGTCTGTCCGAAGCAGCCAGGCTCATCCTAAGCCACCCAAAACCCGAAACCCAACAGCAACCCAAGCTCTAAACCCTGAACCCTGAACCCTGAACCCTAAACCCTAAACCCTAAACCCTAAACCCTAAGCCCTAAACCCTAAACCCTAAACCCTAAACCCCAAACCCCAAACCCCAAGCCCTAAACCCTAAACCCTAAATTTTAAACCCTAAACCCAGCATGCGGCGCAGGAAGCAAGGCGGGCGGAGCAGTATGAGGCCCTTGTCGAGCACCAGGATGCCATCTCCTCGGCACCCAAGCCCCTCGCTTCCTTTACATAGGGTTTAGGGTTTAGGGTTTAGGGCTTAGGGCTTAGGGCTTTGGGTTTTGGGTTTAGGGGGGTTAGGGTTTAGGGCCCTCGGGCTAGGGTTTGGGGTGTAGGGTTTCTTCAGGCTGAGAGTATAGGATTGAGGGTTCAGTGTTTAGGGTTTCGGGGTGGTTGGAGTTTGTTTTTTCTTTTATAAGGCTTTGCGTTTTGAGTTCCAGTGGTTTCAGTTGTGTTGGGCTCGGGGCTGTGCTGTGTTGTGGGCTTGGGGTACGGGCCTGCGGCTGCAGGAGCCCTTTGACCCACAGGAGCCTCGACCATGTTCGAGAGTCTAGAGTGTGGGGTTTCGGTTTAGGGTTTAGGGTTTAGGGTTTAGGGTTTAGGGTTTAGGGTTTAGGGTTTAGGGTTTAGGGTTTCGGGTTTAGGGTTTAGGGTTTAGGGTTTAGGGTTTAGGGTTTAGGGTTTAGGGTTTAGGGTTTGGCGCCCCTTTGGACCGCCATCAACACTTCATGGTCCGGCTTCTCTTGTAGCACAAAGGTCCTTGCTCCATACCACTTCATGGCAGTGGATTTCTCCGAAACCTCCCTGTGAGGTCTAGGGTTTATGGTTTTGGGGTGTTTATCAAGAGATAGCGAGATGAGCGTGTTTAGGGTTTAGGGCTTCTCTCAACACGGCCCACCCCCCCTTCCCTCCATGTAGAAGACTTGCGTAAGTTCGGGTTTAGGGTTTAGGGTTTAGGGTTTAGGGTTTAGGGCCTAGGGCCTAGGGTTTAGGGCCTAGGGTTTCGGGTTCTATGATCCCACAGCATCCGAGGAAGCAGACAGAGGCCTACAAGAAGCTCCTGGCCATTCCCGGTTCTCCGGCAGCGCGCGGTTTGGGGAAGACCGCCAGCTTGTACCAGAGGCCACTGGGGTTTAGGGGTTTAGGGGTTTAGGGGTTTAGGGGTTTAGGGGTTTAGGGGTCTAGGGGTCTAGGGGTTTAGGGGTTTAGGGGTTTAGGGTATAGGGGTTTAGGGGTTTAAGGGTTTGGGGGTTTGGGGTGTAGGGGTTTAGGGTTTTAGGGGTTTAGGGTTTAGGGCTTTAGGGGTTTTCGGGTTTAGGGGTTTTAGGGTTTTGGGTTTAGGGCTGCTTGGGGTTTGGGGTTTGGGGTTTGGGGTTTGGGGTTTGGGGTTCCGGGCTTAGGGCTTGAAGGTCTGGAAGGCTTTGGGTTCTCTTTGGGGGGGGGGGGAGGTCACAGATACCCCGAAACCCTAGACCCTACTAAACCCTAACCCTAAACCCGAAACCCTAAACCCTAGACCCTAATCCCTAAACCCTCCTCTAAAACCCAAACCCCCCAAAACCCAAACCCCCCTCTACCGGCCCTTGAGGAGCCGTCGCAAGGGCCTCCATCCAGTGTCGGCTGCATCCCGGACAGTTGGTTTAGGGTTTAGGGTTTAGGGTTCAGGGTTTAGGGTTTAGGGCTTAGGGCTTGAAGCTTTCTGGTTTGAGGCGTTCAGGTTGGTCAACCTTGACTAGGGTTTAGGGTTTGGGGTTTGGGTTTAGGGTTTAGGGTTTAGGGTTCGAAGGCTTGAAGTCTGAGATTCCAGCAGGTGGGGTTTGGGGTTTAGGGTTTATAGGTTTAAGTGCTAGGTGTGGGGTTTGGGGCATTTTAGGGAGGTCTCGGTGGGTTTAGGTTTAGGATTTAGGTTTCGGATTTAGGGTTTAGGGCTGATTGCTTAGCTCTCGTTTGACTGAGCCCTAAACCCTGAACCCTAAACCCTGAACCCTGAACCCTGAACCCTAAACCCTAGACGCGGGCAAGAGATCTCGGCACAAACATGCGATGGCACGCTCGATCTCGCTGCAGGCCGCGAGTAAGCTCACTGTGAGTGATTGCTTCTGGCACTTGGGGAGCGATTACCCGAGAACAAGCAAGTTGTTCGTGACATTTGAGAGGGACGACATCAGCGATCAGAACGCAACCCTCCAGCTGGTTGCGAGCAGACTTGCGAAGAAAAGGTTCAAGGGAGCTTCCGAAGACATGACGGTGGAGCTAGCGTACGACAGGACGGGTAGAACCCGCGAGAATTGACATCACCGACGACCGCGCGTTCATGGATTTCGATGACACGGTGCAATGGGGTTACGAGTCTACACCCTAAACCCTAAACCCTAAACCCTAAACCCTAAACCCTAAACCCTAAACCCTAAACCCTAAACCCTAAACCCTAAACCCTAAACCCTAAACCCTAAACCTAACCCTAAACCCTAAACCCTAAACCCTAAACCCTAAACCCTAAACCCTAAACCCTAAACCCTAAACCCTAAACCCTAAACCCTAAACCCTAAACCCTAAACCTTACTTAACCTGGAATCCAAGGCAAAAGGCGAGATCGGCTCCTCGCTGGGTGGCGGTGGCGGTGGCCGAAAGTTTTCTGAGGCCGGGTGGGTTTTGGGCCTGGGTTTAGGGCTTAATTAGGGTTTAGGGTTTAAGGTTTAGGGTTTAGGGTTTAGGGTTTAGGTTAGGGTTTAGGGTTTAGGGCAGCTCCGGTCAGATGCGCGACGTTTAGTCTCAATGCTGCAGGGATTTAGGGAAGACCCACATGAGGCCGAGATTCAAAGGACCCACAGCCCTAAGCCTAAACACAATTTTATGTTGTGAATCCTAATTCCCCCAAACTGGAAACCCTCAACCCTAAACCCTAAACCCTCAACCCTAAACCCGAAAAGCTCTAACGTGCCCTTGAAGTCCCCTTATAAGCCCTGCAGAGATGGCCACCCTAACGAATCTCAGATGCATCCTGCAACCTAAGCCCGCAGCCCGCAGCCCGAAGCGCTAAGCCCTAAAACCCCTAAAGCCTAAAGCCTAAAGCCTAAAGCCTAAAGCCTAAAGCCTAAAGCCTAAAGCCTAAAGCCTAAACCCTAAACCCTAAACCCTAAACCCTAAACCCTAAACCCAAACCCCCAAACCCCCAAACCCTAAACCCTAAACCGTAAACCCTAAACCCCAACAAAGGTGGAGGAGAGAAGAGGGCAGCAAGAGTTCCTCTACTTTGCTGCTGTGGAGTTGCTGACCTTCGGCACCTTTGCTGGGGACGCTGGGCCTTTCGCGGGGTTTAGGGTTTAGGGTTTAGGGTTTAGGGTTTAGGGTTCAGGGTTCAGGGTTCAGGGTTCAGGGCCCAACCCTCCTAAGTCAAAAGCCCTCCTCAAACCTGAGCCCTAAGCCCTAAGCCTTAAACCCTGAATCCTAAACCTTAAGCCCGGAATCCTTGCCCAAAGTCTTAAGCCCTAATTGGTTAGATCGCTGAACCCGAAACCCGAAACCCTAAACCCTAAACCCTAAACCCTAAACCCTGAAACCCTCATCTTTAAGTTCCTGCTCCCATGTTAGCCCAACAAATCATCGGGGTTTGCATTTCAGGGTCGTCGGGTTTAGGGTTTAGGGGTCTAGGGTTCAGGGTCTAGGCCTTAACAAATAGAAGCAGAAGAAAGGAAGCTGCCTCTCGAACCTCTGAGCCCTCCCGTTGCGCTCAGGATGACCATGACAAGAACTACCCACCTCCTGAGGAAGCGGAGCCCCACAGGCTGTTTGAGGGGGGGGGGGGGTTTAGGGTTTAGGGTTTAGGGTTTAGGGTTTAGGGTTTAGGGTTCAGGGTCCAGGGTTTAGGGTCCAGGTTGTATCTGGGTTGGGGGAGGGGGGGCGGGGGTTTATCTGGGGAAGATAGGGACCTCTGGGCTTCAGAAGGGTTCGGAGAAGGTAAACCCTAAACCCTAAACCCTAAACCCTAAACCCTAAACCCTAAACCCTAAACCCTAAACCCTAAACCCTAAACCCTAAACCCTAAACCCTAAACCCTAAACCCTGAACCCTGAACCCTGAACCCTGAACCCTGAACCCTGAACCCTGAACCCCAAACCCCAAACCCCAAACCCTAAACCGCTACAGTTGCTTTGTCTGGGGAGGGGGGGGGTTCGCCGGTTTCAGACACCGCGTTTCGGGTCTCCAGCTGCGGGGGCCTTTGCACCCGTGGGTGTGTAGGGTTTGGGTTTAGGTTTTCGGGTTTCGGGTTAGGGTTTAGGGTTTAGGTTTTCGGGTTTTGGGTTTGGGGTTTAGGGTTTAGGTTTAAGGTTTTAGGGTTTAGGGGTTCCATGAGCAAGTCCTCCGACAGGCCAGAGATCGTCGAGGCGCTAGATGCGGCGTTCAGCAAGCCTCTGGGATGGCACAGGGGGGGAGACTTCTGGGCCCCTGATAAGTGATTAGAGTTTTTTTAGTGTAGCTGCGGTTTAGGGTTTAGGGTTTAGGGTTTAGGGTTTAGGGTTTAGGGTTTAGGGTTTAGGGTTTAGGGTTTAGGGTTTAGGGTTTAGGGTTTTGGGTCACACCTACAGCTCTTTTGAGTGGTGCCAATTGCGCGCAGGTCCTATCATCTACGTTGCCACAGGGGCCAGGGCTCATGAGTGGGGTCTATTGGTACCGGGATTGTGTAGGCTTTCAATTCAAGAGCAGCTTCATGGATTTCCCTACTGCCTCGCTCTTTACCAACCCCCCCGTTGGTTTCGCCCTTAAATGACCTTAATTCGGCTCCATTATCCCTAAAGAGCCACAAATCTGGGGGAACCTAGGGGGGGTTAGTGTAGAGGGGGGTAGTAGGGAACATCATAGCAGTTGAGTTAATTTGCGAGAACCGCCATGAGGTTTCCGGTGCAGACGTACCTGAAGATTTTGGCGGAGCAGGCGGTGTCGACGCCGGATCAAGTCTAAAGCCTAAACCCTAAACCCCAATCCCCACACTCCACAACCCCACAACCCCAAACCCCCGAAATCTTCCCAAATCTCCTAAAGCCCCCAAAACCCCCCAAAACCCTAAACCCTAAGCCCCGAACAAACAACACTCAAATCGACCGAGCCCCAAGCTAAAAACTTAAACCGTAAGCCCCAAACAGAAAACAAGCAAATCGCATGAACCCCTTGAAGAGGTGCAGATGCACAAGAACATGAAGGTGGTACTGTCGGACATGTTCCTTGGTAGCCCTGTGGTACCCCTTTTTCCGGTTTTTTAGGTTTTGGTTTCGGGTTTAGGGTTCAGGGTTTAGGGCCTGTATAATGTAACCAACCCATTAACTGGGGATACCAAGGTTCGTGCACGTCACCACCAAATTCCTCTGGCATTGTTGGACGCAGACACCTGGGCCCGCGTTTTGGGGTTTGGGGGGGTTTAGGGGGGGTTTGGGGGGTTTGGGCGGTTTAGGGGGTTTGGGGGTTTGGGGGGTTTGGGGGGGTTTAGGGGTTTAAGGTTTAAGGGGTTTTCGGTTGATTGGGTCTAGGAAGTCAGGGGTGGGTTGATTGGGTTTAGGAAGTCAGGGGTTTAATTAGGGTCGTACGGTTGAGGAGGGCATGGGGGTGGCTGTATGGGTTCAGAGCGTTCTAGAGGTTAGGGGTTTAGGGTTGGTTTAGGGGCTCAGAGGTTTGTATGCTTTGAGGGTTCAGAGGATTCTTGCCTGGGGTTTTCCGCCTTCGGCATACATGCTTTGTTGACCCTAAACCCTAAGCCCTATGCCCCTCAACCTAACCCCAATCCCTCCAAAAAAACCTACACCCTATAGACCTAACTCCAAACTCTGAACCCTGGTGTCCTCACTGTCGTCGTCTTCTAAAGGAGAGAAGCAAGCTTAGATTTGGTGAAAGAGTGGAGGACACCTGACCCACCGAAGTATTGCAAGTGCAGGGTTTAGGGTTTCACTGCTTAGGGCGGAGGCTTCATTTTTCAGGGTTTAGGGTTTAGGGTTTAGGGTTTTTTGGCTTGGGGTGTAGGGCATAGGGGGGCCTAGCGGCGGCCCGCGCCTGCCCCTGCGCCCGTGCGACGAGTTGTGCGATGCGTGCGTAGAGGTTCGACGCAGGAACCCTGTGGTAATTGCCCTTTTGTCTTCTTTGTTGAGGTTTGGTCCTTCTTTTAGTTGTATTGGGTCCGCGCCTCATTCTAGGGTTTAGTGTGTTTGAATGAGGGCTTGCGGCCATACAGGAAGAACCAAGCAAAGTGCCTGCCGGTCGTGGGATCAAAATGGCTCACTACACCTTGTCTTTTGCTGACATGGGAGACCCAAGAACCCTGAACCCGCCATGCTTCCCCAGCTTAAGTGTTCCCAAAGCCTGCCAACTTTCCCTGACCCTAAACCCCAAACCCTAAGCCTTAAACCCTAAACCCTAAACCCTGAACCCTGAATCCTAAACCCTAAACCCTAAACCCTGAACCCCCCCTAAGTGCACCCGAGGCCCATCTTCCAGCGCTACCTCGACACCCCGGCAAACCTGCAGATCATCGCGCAGCTCATCCCCTTCTTCATCAGCTGGCCGAACCCGGATGTTCAGAGCATGATCGCGGAGGTGCGGTTTAGGGTTTAGGGTTGAGAGTTTATGTTTTAGAGTTTAGGGTTTAGGGTTGAAGCTTTGGGGTTCAGGGTTTAGGGTTTCGGGTATAGGGTATAGGGTATTTAGGGTTTAGGGTTTCGGGTTTAGGGTTTAGGCTTTAGGGGCTAAGGATTGAGCCTAGACCCTGTAAGCCCCTGAAATACTCCTACCCCTGGCATCCAGGTCTGTTTGTATGGCGGGCTCCACCGATTTACCTCTGTCTGCGACATCCTCATCGCCGAGTACCGGGAGTACCCAGCGTCCGGGCCTGGAGTTAGAACCTTGAAGGCCTAAACCCTAAGCCCTAAACCCTAAACCCTAAACCCTAAACCCTACACCCATACCCCATACCCCATACCCCGTACCCCGTACCCCGTACCCCATACCCCATACCCCATACCCCATACCCCATACCCCATACCCCATACCCCATACCCCAAGCCCGCTAAACCCTACACCCTAAACCCTAAACCCCGAACCCTAAACCGTAAACCCTGAACCCTCAACCCTGTCTTGATGGGTATGCCTTTCAGGCTTTGAGCTATTTGAGACTTGGGGTTTAGGGTTTAGGGTTTAGGGTTTAGGGTTTAGGGTTTAGGGTTTAGGGTTTGGGGTCTATTTGAAACCCTATCGGCTAGGCTTCACGGTTCGTAGGGTCAGACCCTGAGCCTTAGACCCGAAACCCCAAATCCCAAACCCGGTTTAGGGTTTAGGGTTTAGGGTTTAGGGTTTAGGGTTTAGGGTTTAGGGTTTAGGGTCCGCTTCTGGAAAGGAGCTCTCCTGCGCTTTGCTCACGCGCTGCTTGATCAGCCCCATCGAGGAGACGGGGCTGAAGCCCAAGCAGGCTGCCAGTTGTCCTTTTCTTCAGCGGCCTGTATTGTCCCCTAAACCCTAAACCTCAAGCCCCAAACCCGAAACCCTAAACCCTAAACCCTAAACCCTAAACCCTAAACCCTAAACCCTAAACCCCTAAACCCCTAAACCCTAAACCCCTAAACCCCTAACCCCTAAACCCTAAACCCCCTAAACCCCTAAACCCCTAAACCCCTAAACCCTAAACCCATAAACCCCTAAACCCCTAAACCCCTAAACCCCTAAACCCCTAAACCCCTAAACCCCTAAACCCCTAAACCCCTAAACCCCTAAACCCCTAAACCCCTAAACCCCTAAACCCCTAAACCCCTAAACCCCTAAACCCCTCAACCCCAAACCCCAAACCCAGAAGCCCTGCCCCTAGCCACCTTTCAGTCCCCGGCAGCCTCAAGGCACAGTGAAGCTAGACTCCCAACCTCAGATGGTTTCGGGCTCAGAGTTCGGGTTTAGGTTTTGGGGTTTAGGGTTTAGGGTTTAGGGTTTAGGGTTTAGGGTTTAGGGTTTAGGGTTTAGGGCTTGGGGTTCAGGGGTTTAGGGCTTTGGGGCAAGGCCTGAACCCCACGCCCCACCACGCCCCAGAAATTTTGGGTTTCGGTGTTAAGGGGTTCACAGCGATCCCCCAAGCCTCCGAAAGCTCCAAGTTCCAAAATCAACCCCCCCCCCCCCCCCCCCCACCCCACCCCCACCCCCACCCTCCCCTAGAGTTCAGGGTTTAGGGCTTTAGTGTCCTAGCCCTAAACCCTGAACCCGAAACCCTAAACCCTAAGCCCGAAGCCTGAAACCCTAAACCCTAAACCCTAAACCCTAAGCCCTAAACCCTAAACCCTAAACCCTAAAAGGGTTCAGGGTCTCAGCCCTCCACCGCCCATGCCTCGACCAGGCTGTCGGCTTCCTTCGCATCTTCGTCTGCTTGCTTCAGGACGTTTTAGGGATTCAGGGTTTAGGGTTTAGGGTTTAGGGTTTAGGGTTTAGGGTTTAGGGCTTCAGGACGTTTAGGGTTTCAGGGTTTGGGGTTTTAGGGTTTAGGGTGTATAGGGTTTAGGGTTTATAGGGTTTAGGGTTTAAGGGTTTAGGGTTAGGGTTTCGGGATTAAGGTGAAGGGTTTCGGGTTTAGGATGAAAGGTTTCAGGGTTTCAGGTTTTAGGTTTAGGGTTTATAGGGTTTAGGGCTTCAGGACGTGTAGGGTTTCAGGGTTTCTGGGTTTCAGGGTTTCAGGGATTAGGGTTTGGGTTTTAGGGTGAAGGCTTCAGTACAGTTTCAGGGTTTCAGGGTTTAGGGTTTAGGGTGAAGGCTTTAGTAGGGTTTCCGGGTTTCAGGGTTTAGGGTTTAGGGATTAGTAAAGTTTCAGGGTTTTCGGGTTTCAGGGTTTCAGGGTTTTGGTAGGGCTTTAGGGTTTTGGGGTTTAGGGCTCTGGGGTTTTGGCTTTTAGTGTTCTGGCTTCGGAGTTTCTGGGGCTTAGGAGTTTAAGGTTTATGGGTTTGAGGTCTAAGGGTTGCGTTCAGTGGATTTTAAGGTTTATGGGTCTAGGGTTTAAGGTTTGCAGGTTCAGTGGCTTATCGTGAGGGGTTTCACTGTTTAGGTGTTCAGGGTTTGAGCTTTGTTTCGTACGGAGCTCCTCTTTCAAGAGAAGTTCGCCGGCGCTGGCAGGGCCCCAGTGACATCGCAAAGGGGTCCCGCAAAGCGCTGCAAGGTTCTCCCAACCCTAAACACCCTAAACCCTAAACCCTAAACACCCTACACCCTAAACCCTAAACCCTAAACCCTAAACCCTAAACCCTAAACCCTAAACCCTAAACACCAAACACCCTAAACCCTAAACCCTACTAAGCCTGAGGGTTTGCGGTCGTAGGGTCCGCGTTGCGTAGGGGTGCTGGGGGGAACGCGACACGACGAAGCCCTGCACAAACCCTTGCCGTCAGACCTTTGAGCCCAACCAACTGGTTTTGGGAGTACTATCCTTTACTACTTTTTTTGGTTCTGCGTTCCTATTCGAAAAGGTACATACTTTTTTCTAGGGTCTACTCCAAAGTAGGGTCAAACCACGGGGGATGAAGGCCTGCTGCACCCGCAGGCCTTCTGAAACCCTTAGCCACTTAGGATGTAGGCTGCTAAACCTCTCCTAGCGAGCGTGGGAGGGTGGGCCCTAAACCCTAAACCCTAAACCCTAAACCCTAAACCCTAAACCCTAAACCCTAAACCCTAAACCCTAAACCCTAAACCCTAAACCCTAAACCCTAAACCCTAAACCCTAAACCCTAAACCCTAACCCTGAACCCTAAACCCTGAACCCTAAACCCTGAACCCTAAACTCTAAACCCTAAACCCTAAACCCTAAACTTGAATGAGGAGCGCGCGCTGAGCCACACTGGGCTGAAACGACTGGCTGTGGGCTTGGAGACGGCTTTGGTGATGGACAATCCCAAGGCTGGATCGGATCCTTCTGTGTTCTGCGGAGCCCCGCACTTCCCTAAACCCGACACGGACCCTAAATCCTAAACCCTAAACCCTAAACCCTAAGCTTCCAAAGCCCAAAGCTCCTCAACCCTAGACTCCACCACCAACGATCGGCCTCAACTCCTACACCCGTAGCCTTTAACAAATATCCAAGTTTAGGGTTTAGGGTTTAGGGTTTAGGGTTTAGATTTCGAAACTCCTAAAACCTTCAGAAAGGCCCCCCGAAGCTTCCGGAGCTCCTTGTGATCTCAGGGCCTCTGTGGCATCCTTGCGCAGAGGGAGCACGAACTTCTTGCTGAGCTTCTGGAGGCTGCGCGCGACCTTCTGAGGATTTTGGGGTATAGGGTTTAGGGTTTAGGGCTAGGGTTTAGGGTTTTGGGTTTAGGGTTTAGGGTTTAGGGTTTCGGGTACGTAGGGTGATAGGGTTATAGGATGATTTGGTTATAGGGTTATAGGGTTAAAGGGTTAAGGTAAAAAGGGGTATAGGGTTACAGGGTTATAGGGTTATGGGGTTATAGGGTTATAGGGTCATAGGGTTATAGGGTTTTGGGGTTGTAGGATCCTATAGCGTTAGAGGGTTATAGGGCTTCGGGGTTAGAGGGTTGTCGGGTTATAGGGCTTAGGGGCCCCTGGGCATGTGGGCGGCGGATGCAGTTTGCTGGCCGTGAGCCCCAAACCCCAAACCCTCAACCCTAAATCCCGCCGGAGTCGAGATGGACGTGTGTTCATGAGTTATTATGAGTCTAATATAGGGGCGTTCGCAATTAGAGCAGTTTTATTTGTGTGTGTGTGTGTGTTTTTTTTTTTTTTGGGGGGGGGGGGGGGGGTTAGTATACGTACAATGATTAGAGGGGCCACAAGGGAAAAACTATTAGTAAACCCTAAACCCTAAACCCTAAACCCTAAACCCTAAACCCTAAACCCTAAACCCTAAACCCTAAACCCTAAACCCTAAACCCAGGACCCCTACATTGCACCGCGCAGGGGGGGTGGTCATCAGGGAGCCTTGCTTCGGGTTTTGGAACCTTTGCGCAGAGGTTGTTCGACCGAGCCGTGGTCTGGTCTCAGCCAGCTCAAACGGTTTAGGGTTTTTGGGGTTTAGGGTTTAGGGTTTTTGGGGTTTAGGGTTTAGGGTTTAGGTTTTAGGGTTTAGGGTTTAGGTTTTAGGGTTTAGGGTTTAGGTTTTAGGGTTTAGGGTTCAGGGTTCAGGGACCCAAAACACTAGAAACTCGGTTGGCCCTCGGGACATTTTATATGTTCCCCTATAGGGTTTAAGAGGATCATATTGAGGGTTTAGGGTTTAGAGATTTTAAAGATGGTTTTAAAAAGGCCATCCTAGGAAAACGTTCCGCCTTTGAGCAGGACCGTTCCTTACGCATAGAGCCTGCAATCAAACGACCCCCAGCTTTCGAGCAACCCCGCCCATGCCCTAAACACTCTACACACTGAATCCTAAACCCTAAACCCAAACCCTAAACCCCAAACCCTAAACCCTAAACCCCAAGCCCTGAACCCTAGAGCATGTGGCGGCCAGATTTGCAGGCCTTGTCGCAGTACAGCGAGTCCGCGCGCAGCTCAGAGTCTGAAAGATCTGGGTCTCTCGCACATTATGGTCTAGTGGCGTTCACGAAAACCCCTAGACCCTAAGCCCTAAGCCCTAAACCCTAAAACCTAAACCCTAACCCCTAACCCCTAAACCCTAAACCCTAAACCTCAACCTTAACACGTGCTTATGGCACGGTGTCGGTCGAGTCCCGCCCCCTTGCCTCTGCGCTGCACGCAGGCCCTAAGTAACCTAAATCCCTGACGCCCCCCGGCCCCAAACCTGCTAACCCTCAATTTCCTAGACCCTGAACCCTGAACCCTGAACCCTGAACCGTGAACCCTAAACCCTAAACCCTAAACCCTAAACCCTAAACCCTAAACCCTAAACCCTAAACCCTATACCCTAAACCCTAAACCCTAAACCCTAAACCCTAAACCCTAAACCCTAAACCCTAAACCCTAAACCCTAAATCCTAAGGCCACAGAAGCAAATGTGACGAAGCTTCTGGCCAGACCTGAGGCCTCGGTGAAGCAGTGCATGGTCGTGGCGCTCACCAGGACGGTGGGCAAGCACTACAAGGCGAGGAGGTTTCGGGTTTAGGGTTTAGGGTTTAGGGTTTAGGGTTTCGGGTTTAGGGTTTAGGGTTTAGGGTTTCGGGTTTAGGGTTTAGGGCTAGGATTTGGGGGGTTTTGGGGGTTTTGGGGGGGTGTCTTGGGGGCACTGCAAGGGGGGCCGTCGGGAGGTTTCGGGTTTAGGGCAGGGCTTAGGGGTTTTGGGGCTTGGAGGGTTTTGGGGTGGATTTGGGGAGTCTCGGGGATTTTTGGGGGTTTTTGGTGGTTCCACACAGGGTTTCATGGTTTTAAAGCTGAGGGTCTATGTAGAGCTTCCCAGCTCCCTGCCTCAAGTCCTGCAGCCCTAAAGCAGGATGTACAGAAACCCTAAACCCTAAACCCTAAACCGAAAACCCTAAACCCTAAGGGCTGCCGGTTTGCGGACCAGACCTGGTGGTCTTGCCAGTTTTTACTCGGGACTGGGGTTTAGGGTTTAGGGTTTAGGGTTTGGGGTTTGGGGTTTATGTTTTGCTTTTCAGAGGCCGTGCGAGCGGTGCT